GAACCTGCTTGAGATGATTAATTGTTCTTATGGATTGTATTTTACAAGAATGACATTACTTGAAATTTGTTAGCAACTGAATTTCTTTCTAGTGATTTTACAGTATAACACTGCAGTGTTATATTCTGTGTCGAATTCTGCAGTACTTTAATACATTGTACAGCAATAAACTGTTTATGTAGAACACTGAAATAACAGTATAACCACAGTATTATACTTGTTACAACCCAGCTCGTTAGGGTAAGGCAGTAACGAGTATTTGGGATTGAAATGAAGGTGGTAAAGGACAACTGAATTTAGGTTAAAGTCAAATGTTTAATTAAATGATTTGTCTCAAGAAAACACAACAAAAGGAGGCTATATAGGTACTGACAAAAAAAAGGAAACAAAAGGAGGTATTGTCCAAAGACAGCTCTCTACTCAAAAAACACTGAAGAACAAAAGGAGGTCAGCACCTACATGTTTTACAAGAATGCAAAGTAACCAAACAGACAATGCTCAAACCAAAAGAGTGGCACTCACACTATGTGATTTACAAGGGTTCTAACTGACGGAAGCCGCTTAGGCAGGCAACCGACAGAAACAGGTAAATGCCAACACTCAAGAAATTCACTATTAACAGGGGTACGCAACCAACAACGAGGCCAACTGATCACTGGCTCACAGTCGCCTCGAACTGCAGCAACACAAACTATTTGTAGGCCAGCTGGTAACCAGGACTGGTTGGCAGGTTCGGTCGGATCTTCGGCCACACCAATCACAGACGCCAGCAAACAGCAACCAGGAAGTGGGCGGTCCCAGGTCCAGAGGAACCAACACTCAACAGGGACTCACAGCTGGGATTTTCATACCATTCAGAGAACTCCAGAACACAACTATTACTCTAAGGCAGCCAGCGGCGGCCGTAACATACTGTAATGCCTATACTTTATACAGCACATTACTGTAATATATTTTACAGTAATAAACTGTTATTTTAATTTTATTACAGTAGTTACACTGTAGAATAACAGTTTCATGCTGGCAACTGTAGCTGCCAGTATTTTACTGTAATTTAACGACAAAATTTGTTACAGTGTAAGCTTAAAAAAACCCAATTTACTGATTATATTCAACTATATTTTTATATTCTGAATTGTCACCTGCCACCTAAATTTTGTTTCCCCTTTATATAAATAGAGGCATTTCCACCATAAATTGGTGCAGAAAATGTCTCCAGAATACAGGAAATTAAGTGTTTAATGCTGAAAATCTTCTGGGGGAGGACCCACAGACCCCCCAATCATATAATTTCATCAATGAATATTTCTTCAAATATTATCTTCTAGTCTTGTTCTTGTGAACACAATATTCTGCATTGTCACGTCTCACATGCTAAATGTTTTGTCACAACCACGCCACTTTTCAACACAAAGCAACGCCCTGTCCCACCTGTAACTGTCATTGGCTGTTAGTCTTTGCAGTGTTGATAACACACAGCCTAAGCAGTCCTTCAGAATGCTCTCTATTACATGTACATGCATACTGCATGTATTAGTGAGTGTAGTGGTGCTTATGGGACGTCACGCTGAGACGACTGAGTATGAGGGAACAATCACAGTACACTCACTAGAAAAAACTAGACTACACCACTGCTTCAAAATGTGTCAGCATCTGACTGAGCCTTACACCTGAACCCACCGCCACAGTCCACCAGCACTTGGAAAGATATTCCGGTTGTGAAGAATTGCAATTCGAGAGCCCGTGATTCTGCCCCTGTGGTTTGTCCCTCCAGCACAGCCTGCAGCCAATTTTCATCACGGCTTCTTATGTTCTTGCAGCTGCTCTCGATTATTACGCCTCGCTCGCTGAGATCCGTCTATATGAACCGGTCCTGCTTCACTTCAGAGAAAGTACAACCCCAGATCCACTGCTGGTCTCTCTTGACAGGAGGCTCAGTTCTGTTCAATTAACTGCGGGAGTCAGGAAACACTCAGAGTGGGAATCAGTCTGTAGTGGGAGATTTTTAAATGCGGAACATGTTTTTAGAGAATGTATTTGTTCTGTACGGCTGTACGTCAGGTGCCCACATGAACAATAAAACAGGTTTTGCTTGCTGTAATCATTCTTCATGTTTAAACTGGCCAGTGAGAGATCCCCTGCTGAAGCAATTTCAATGCAAGTGATTGGGGGTAAAATCAGGCCTCCTTTTGTCTGATGATGATATGAGGCTTCAGCAGTCTGAGCTAATCAAATCAAGTGAGTATCTTTCAAATTTAAAGTACTTTCAGTACAAAATTCCCTCTGTGTGTTACCTTGGACGATGTTTGAAAAGAAGCTGCAGTGGAGGGACAGAAGCACAACGAGAAACTCACCTTTATTTGATATTTGTCTTCTGTCAGTGTCGGCATATCACCTTCCTTTCCTAATATAGTTGCTAAAACTACTAGGGAAACACGGGAAACGTTCAAAAGTGAGGAGGGAAGTCTGTTAATGTGATCAAAGTCCCTTTAAAAAACTAAAGCCCTATTTAAAAAAAAAAATTAAATCTGTCATCCTGTAAAAATATTTGCGCACAGAAAGCTTACGCTCTGAGCTTTATCGCCGTGTTCAAAGCTATCAGACTCCCTTGACAAAAACAGTAATTTTAACCTCTCTAATCTACCGCTGCCTCCATTGGTTAGTTTGTTTGTATCATTGTGTGACAGAGCAATAAATCTGTCAGAAATTCCTGTGACGTTTATATATTTTGTTACTGGTCTGACCTCTCTGACCAATCTCTGCCTACGCTCTCTTGATCCCTAATTCCCTTGTTTCTATGGAGATGGGTTGTCTTGGTCCCAATAGCCACTCCAACCCCAAAGCCAACACACACACACACACACACACACACACACACACACACACACACACACACACACACACACACACACACACACACAGCCTAGCCGCTAATTGGCTGTAAATAACTTCTAATGGCTATTTATTTATGGCATTTTTATTTCTCACATCCACAAAAAAAAGTGTTTCTGTCCACCCCCTCAACATGCCCCCTTCCCCCGTTCCTTCTAATGTCAGATTGTGTCAGATTATATAAAATGTAATTTTCTAGTTTTTGTTGTGACTGTGAAGATTCATCTTCATGCACAGTCTTGGCAAAATCAAACAGATACCACAGATTCACCTCTGTAATCTGTGTGATGCTAGTCCTTTTAAAATAGTAGAGGAAGAGTTCAAGGGCCCTGTTACAGAAAGTTCCTATCTTAAGTATTAAATTAAGGTAGGAAGAGTCTAAGATAGAATTTTTCCCAATTTGGTATTACAGAAGCATCCTAAGTTTAGGAGAACTGTTAAGCTGTCCTAACTTTACTTTTCCACCAGGTAGTCTTTGCTAACTCTTTAATCCACATGGTTATTAACTGATTCTACCCACGTGTTTGATGACCAAACACTCGTTAGCAGAAGGCTGTAGGCGACGTAACGCCGGATAATGTCATTAGATAAAATAATGTAAAGGCTTGGTGTAACAAAAGGATCCTAATGCAAGTCTTTGGTAGGAGGAGACTGTTAAAGACTAGAAATACATGAAAACATGATGACCTTAGCCCGCAGCCTTTATTATTATTGTTACCGTCATTATTAACTTTGCCCAGATGAGTACGGGCTTCTGCCGGGGTCAGTTAGGGAGCACAGGAGGAGCCACCACCGGGTTCCTCTGACCTTTGGACACAGCAGCTGCCTTTCTCTTCGTGCAGCGTATTCCTTCATCTAAATGGCGTCCACAAAAAGTGCTTCTTTTTGCCAGCGACAGGCTCGGACTGTTACAGCAGGTGTCTGACAACCTGAAGTCTCCCTCAAGGACAGTTCTCATTCTGAAATCTACTCGTGAGAGGCCAGCTGTAAAGTCTTGCTAGCAGCTCCTCTGCGTACACAACGAAATCCTCTCCTTTGTTTCTACCGGCCACTTCCAGCAACAACTTGCCTCCAAAATATTAAACTTAAAAATTTAAAATGAAAACAACACAGCGCCTTTAAGGCTCAGCTGAGGATAGGATGTCTTCTATGTCTCAAAACAAACATATTTTCTCCTTGAACCATCTATGTAACTGTTGACGTGAGCTTCGTTGTCACTACTACACCAGAGGTACTTGTACCCAAGGGGGTACTTCTGCATCTAATGCCATTTAATTATTTTTATTTTATTCTTTTACCAGCCTGTGAAGACAATAAAGATCTCTTAAATCAATATTAAATAAATAAATAAATAGGCCTCTGAAATAAATCCTGAATTTAAAAAAAGGGTTATTATGAAATGAAAGTCTCTTGGAATAAATAAAAGTAATCATTTAGCATCTTGATACAGCAGGAAAATACAATATAGGCTACAAAATTTCTATATTCCTGCTCTAAATATACTTAATTATGCCTTTAATTAGTTTACTTAAATAATTAAGAGTGTTTGTAGCTTAATGAAATGTATAATGAAGGATATGCAATAAAACTATGATTTTCAGATGTATACATAAATGACCTTATATACCTGCTGTATCTAATTTGATACACACATTTCCAACACGATTTTACTATAAAATAAGTTATTAAATATCAAGTAATTTTACATTGCTTCAATCCAGTAAAAAAACTATTTGAATGTTTTTCTCATCTTAACTCCTTCAAAATTGGCAAAGGTTTCCTTGCAAAACCACCTGTAGGTCACCGAATGATAACCTCCACTTTGGCTGTCTTGATTGAAGGAGCTAAGGTGGATTATCCGTGCATTGCATGTATCTGATCGTATGAATTTGTTTTTTTGGGGCAAAAAATGATCACACTGATGATGTAGTGGTCTCTAAAACTCATGTATCATACACTTGGCGTTAAGTGGCAGTCATCAGGGAGTACGTAGTATCAATAGTGTGTGTGTAAAGTATCAATATTAATATTTTTCTAGTTCAGACATGTTTTAACTGAGTAAACTGTCAGTGACATTTAAATTCTGTACCTTCACTCATGTTCCTCAGGTGTAACAGGACTGGTCCACCTGGACGAGAATGGAGACAGAGAGACGGACTTCGCTCTGTGGGACATGATCGACACCAACTCCAGCGCCTTCCAGGTGAACAGACACACACTTCCTCTAACTCCTTACCCTGATCTTAAACAGAGACACTGGTCAATTTCAGAATCTGGGATACTTTGCTTCCTTAACCTGTCTTCTTTCAGACAAGTGGGTCCAAAATATACATTTAGAAGTTTATTTTCCTACAGTTTGTCTGTGCATCTGTGGATTTCTTCTAAAACTTAGCGTTCTACTGCAACATCTCCTGCTGCTGCCGCTGTCGGCACCCCGGTGCCGTTGGAAAGCTCTCTCCACAGAACACTGCTGTTTTGTCTGTGTAATTGTGCCTGTTCAGACATGCTGCTACTTATTTATTAGTTCTGATGTGGTATAGATGTTCTATATTGTTGTTAGGGTTTGATTCAATATTGGGTCTGTAAATATTGATTTTCAATGAAAACGTGTAGAATAGTACAATATTGATCTTTACAGGCCGTTTTCTCAAAATGAGTTTTTCCTCATCCTCTGAGCCTGAAATCTCTACTTCAGTAGCACTTACAGACACCACACTTTCCAGTCGTATTCCTGACTAAGGGGTTTGTGCTAATAGCTTCAATTATAGAACATTTAATTACCAAAAACAGGTTGAATTTAAAAAAAAAAAAATATTGTCTTAATATAAGTAATCAACTTGGAACGTTTCATGGTGATATCTAATAGTTAAATGTTTGACCCTTTTCACCTGCAGTGTCTCGCCTTGACCATCAAAATTACATGCCTTAACTTGAAGCCCTTACCCTGACCTGATGTAACCAAAACCTTTAATACCATATCTGAAGCCTCCAAACAGCGTCTCTGCATTCAGGTTAAAGTCCCCTCAGGGATATAAAAACATGACACACACCGCAGACTTTATTGGTTTATTCCCTGAACAGACAGAATAAATCAGGGTGAGGAAAATTAAAGAGCTTCAAGATTACAGCAAATCTTTAATTACTGCTGCAACAAACATTCACCACTAATTGTCCAGGAAATGCAAAATAATTTAGCGTAATTGCACAAAGGTTCTAAAATGTGTAATAATTAAATATATCTGCACATTGCTTTTGTTGTTGAGACTTTTAAAATGAAGCCTTACTCAGACAGTGTTTATGTCTCTCTGGGAGGTGGAGTGTTTTTAATGTTACATGTGCAGGTCAGTGTGAAGAGTGCATATATGAACCTGTCGTTTGTCAGCACACTCATTGGTCCATTTATAGTTGTTAATAGTATGTCTTGTTCCCATGTGAAACAGACTCTTTTCACAGTACATACTGTGACTTGTCATAGCAGGAGAAGCCCTGCTGGGTAGAGGTAGGAGGTCGTAAGAGAGCTGAGATATAGGTCGACCTGTATTTTATGTATATTTTCACACTTAGTTTATCTCTTTCCTTTTCATGTTCACCATCACACCTCTCTCACCCTTCATCAGCCTCCTTCACACTTTCCCTCATAGGTTGTTATTCTGTGTCAGTGTGTAGGCTGGGTCTGTCGTCTCTCTGTAAATCCTCCAGGAACTCGGTCAGGATTCATCCACCATGATGAAAGTCCACTCATCTGAAGTGTAGTGCTGGTTTAAACCACACAATGAAGGCTTCATACTCTTTAACTCCTTGTCTCAGGGCCCTGACAATGCTGGAGCCCTAGGCAAGATTTTAAATTGGTGGCCCCACATGTCCAACCCTAAAAAGTCCGCCGCAGGGGTTGTGCCCTGCCTTGTCTGATAGTTAGCGTCATTCTAGATCCCAAAGTAGACGCTGCTTGCTTTTAAAATGTTTAATATATAAAAATGTTCTTAGCCAATATTACATTTTTTCATTTAGCTAAGGCTCTTAAAGCGAACAATTGCTGTACATGTCAGAGGTCACACGCCTCTGGAGCAACTAGGGGTTAAGTGTCTTGGTCGGTAACACATTGGCCTCTCACTCCAAAGGCATGTCTTATCCACTGCGCCATTTTGTATGTAAAATCTAAAGGCCAATTTAGATGGAGTGTAGGTCTAAATGAGGTCAGTGAGATAGGTAGGAGACAGACTGTGGGGCTTTGAATATTAGTAATAATAAAAGTGATTTCTGGTTTTGGCCCTCTGCTAACTTAGTTTAAATGGATCAAATTCTGATACTGAAATGTATTATATAGGCCATTACTACACATTTAAATATGTACAATCTCATTATATAATTTCCGGTACGACATTATGGTGGTACCTTTGGTTTGGGAGACCTGGGTTCGATTCCCACTGTGATACATCCACCACTGGGTCCCTGAGCAAGACACTTAACCCCTAGTTGCTCCAGAGGCGTGTGACCTCTGACATGTATAGAAATTGTAAGTCGCTTTGGATAAAAGCGTCAGCTAAATGTAATTATGATAGACTGATAGCAGATTTGAAGCACTCACTGATATTACTGATTGTAAAGGGATGTAACTGTTTGGTGGAGTTGATACTATTCCAGTGGTCAAACTCGCACAAGTAACACAAGGTGAAAATTTAATTTGCATTGAATGTGAACACGCCATTAGAAAATGGACTTCGTGCAGGCAAACTGACCTGAATAATCGTTGTTTGCATGATCCTGTTGAAATCAATCTAAAATAAAAACTATGAAAGCTAGAGCATTCATTCTTTTTGCAGCATAAAGCTAAGGCTTGTGTTATGTGAGGTGCAACTGCCGTATTTTGGAGCACTTTTTTTGTCTTGATGGCGAGGAAGAGGAACTCAGGTTGATTGACTTACAAAACCTTTAAGCTTAGCTTGTACAGATTTTAGGGATATGAAGGATTTCTGCAAAACTACCAATGTAGGCACTGGCGGACTATTTCTAATGCAGAGTTCAAAGGGTTCACTGCGTGTGAGATTGTTACACTGGTTCCAAGTTCTTTCTTTTGACCCTAAAATGTGAAATGCATGAACTCCTTTGCTGCAGCAAATTACTACCAGAGCATTAACAACAGGAAGTGGGAAATCTTTACACTTTAACACTTCCTGCCTGCCAAATAAATGTCCTCCTGGGAAAGTAAAGGGTTATGATGCCAGTGGTGGAATGAAGCAAAGTACATTTACTACTGTAATTAGTAGCATACTGTTATACAGCTTTTAGGTTAGTTGTACTTTACTTTATACTTTAACTCTACCACATGTCAGGAGCAATATTGTACATTTTACTGCATTACTTTTATTTGACAGCAACAGAGTTACTTTTCAAATTGAAGGCCATTTAGACATCTGCATTGAATCTACACCGGATATGCTCCATGCTTTGAAATCTATTCTAATGAATGTAGATTTGTATAATATTGAGGTACTTCTACTTTACTGGGGTATTCCCATTTTATGCTACTTCTTCTCCCCTACATCTCAGAGGCAGATATTGTGTTTTTTACTGCACTACATTATTCTGACAGCTTTAGTTGCTCGGTTTTCAAAATATAATTCATTATAGATACATTTTAATTAAACTCCCCAACAGGATAAAATGTAGACTGATTTTGACCAGCTGCAACATTCATAATGATTATCCAAAAACATAACTGTAATGGCAAATTTTCCTTGACCTCTAGCCTTAATTTCCAATGTCTGTATCTTTACCATCACACGCGGGCAGGAGGGAAGTTTTACACAGACACACAAGACATTCCATCATTATGGCATCGTCATTATTGCAACTGAGGTTTGTGGCTTATTGCAGTTGTAAATAGTACAAATGGATGAACATACCGGTTAGTTTCTCATTCTTTGTTTCCAGTTGTTGCGTGTATTCTGATCTGTGGTCTGGTGAGAACTGTGGCTGTGTTCGAAACGGGCAAAACTGCTGTCTCAGAAGATGTCTTAACAGGACAGCGAGGCATCGAGTGCTGTTCGAAACGGCTCGAACGATCTCTTCTGTCTCCTGGGACGCCTTCAAGCTGCCCCAGTAACGGCCAGTTTTGAAGGCAGCATCGATGGTGACTGGATGCTGACTATTATATAATAAAATATCATGCCAACAATAAACATAAATGGCTCCTACAATAACTGTAACCTGACGGGAGTTCTCCTGGCCAATGAGTATCTTTAATTTTTATGCTTACCGTAAATTAATAGCCGAGTCCCAAATAGCCGCCCACCCTGTTTACTGGCCTGGTGTGGGAACACATTTTGACAAATAAACGCAGGTCTCCATTAGACGCCTGGTCTGGTTCTTATAGAAGTTCTCTGGATGTATAAAACCTCCTAACACAAATATTAATGTTTAAATGTATGATCAATATGTCAGTATGGACATGCTACACATTGTTAGATCGGTTAGATTCTCCACAATTCAGTCGTTCAGATCATTTAACGGAAACAATGAGCCCCAAAGTCTAATTCTTATAGATTTACTTGTTTAACCGGTGTAGGTACAAGAGATGGGGGGGAAAGTGCTGACTCCTGTTACCTTTGAAGCGCTCGTTAAGTCTGAATGTGTCAGCTCCTTGATTATTTATATTCCTTTAGTCTGTAAGGGTCCACCCATCAAAAGAATCAAAACAGCTTTTCATAAAAATGAATCCAAGTTGTGAATCCTGTCATGTGAAGTCCATCACTCTCTGTGTGCTAACTTCTCTCACCCTGCAACATGTTGTTCTCGTTACATTGCTGCCTTCAAAATAAAAGTGCTTAAGCCGTCTGTTGGAGCTAGATCAAATGAATGACTTATATTTGATATTATTTGATCATTTTTATACTGTTTGAAATGAATAAACTGTTTCATAGTAGCCTATTTCAGTTTTGTGCAAGAGGAATTAAAGGTCTGTCCCAAATACAGGCAGGGTCAATTCAGTGATTTTTAGCAAATAAAAGCCCGGGCTATTAATCAAAGTTTTACGGTAAACCTCTTTTGTACTGCGAGACTTTTACTCACTTAGTCGTGGAGTCATTTTACCCTGTGGTACTTTTACTTTCTTTGAGAACAATTCTTGCAGCGCTGCATATTGACAGGTAACTGGCTTTACACCTCTACATGCTCCAACAGTGACTGTAATGATTTATAAAGGCAAATAAAAGAATGTCACAGAGACACCGCACACATCCCTGTCCTGCTCATGCTGCTTGGCTTACAGGTGAAAAGAAGGAACACTAGTCTACCAACCAAACATCTTACCTGTGTCTATCATCTTGCAATGTTTTATTGCAGATAGTTTTGGTGTACAACAGCTCAGAGGAGCAGCTGACTGCCATACCTGGAACATCCCTACACTGGCCGGGTGGAGTATGTCCTCTTGATGTTCCATTCTGTGGCCTCAAGAATGATAACCCCCTCTGCCTCGCAAGTCAGTGGACCAAACAAGATCAAGTTTACTTTAGTTTAAGACTTTTCCAGAGTAACGTGTTGTTTAGCTTTCCTACGTCTTCCCATCTAAAATCTGATGCAGTAAACATTAATATTCATAATGGTTGGTGGTATATTGTCATGTTATTAAACTCTTCTTCATACAGAATGTGGATGCAGAGGTTATTAAATAGTTCCTCTCTCTCCGACAGAGACGATCACCATCCACCAGATGGTTTCCATCGTGATCGTCTTCATCTTCACGATGACCCTCACCGTCACCATCTTCATCTACAGGTGAGAGCTATAGCTGTCTGCTCTGATTAATCTAAAATGCTATAGTTTTATTTGCATGTTTTAAAATGTTTGTAAATGTCTCATCAGACAGCAGTTTTGCTTATTTAATTCGTGGATTTGTTTTGTGTTTGTATTTGTAGCCAAATGTGGGGGAAAAATGGAAAGATGTTTTCCAATGTTGGTATTTTGTGATTTGGATGTGTCTGCTGAGTTTGTACAACCGTGTTTCCCTCAAGGTGTCTTTGGATATAGTGAAGCAAATCTGGTGTCATACGCAAGAAATGGACCGCTGGACTGTTTTTATTTGTGTGACTGTGTTTATTTGACCAAACAGATATATACTGACTGTACGTTAGCTGAAAGATCTGTGTCTGTGGTTCAGTACAGCCTCTGACTGATCTCAGAACTTATCCAGAACTTTTATTTCCCTCCAGTTTCTCTCCTCTTTCTTCACTGTATGCCATAGACTGTGCATAAAAAGCTGTATGTTTATGAAGCAGAAAACCTTCAGGATACTCATGAATTTTTTTGTTCAAACACACTGATTGTTCGCGTTAATGTGCAACAAACCTGCATTATCAAATATGTTTTGAAGGAAATGCAAATTTGCCTGGTGTAGTTCTTTTATCAACATAATGAGAAAAATGCTTTTAAACAAATTTGTCAAACTTACTGAAGGTAATTATTAGTGGTGTGATGAGACGAGATGAGATTCGAGATTGGGTTCACAAGATCGAGACAAGACGAGATTTTAACACTATTTTTAAGAAATCTTAATGCTGAATGAAAATTTTGAGCATTGAACAGTTCATTTCTGCATTCTGATGAATTTCTGCACCAGTTTATGGTGAAAAGAGAAACACAAAATTCAGGCGGCAGGTGACGATTCTAACTGTATAGCCTAATTTATTTAATATCAGCCCTGCTGAGTCATGATTCAGTCTTCCCTCCTGTGTCTTTGTTTGGAGTAACCTCTTTAAATGAGTCTGTGGCACCTTTTCACATCAATGGCTATTTAATTTTAATTCAGTTAGAAACTCCTGGACTTTAATAGCTCCTTGTTTCATCAGATTCTCTGCTTATTCAGAATCTCTCCCACAGATCTGTGATCTGACAGGCCCAGAGAAGAGGCAGAATATTCCCGTCATCATTTAATGAGAAGTCTACCTGCCCTCTACTCTGTGGTGCATTATGTTTTTGATCTGCTGGTAGTAACGTTATCCCCTTCAAACACTTGTGATCAGCAGAAATCTCACCACAGATCCACATGTTAACTTTAACAGCTCAGAGTGCAGCTCACAATCCCAAACAGAGCAGGCTGCACTTCAGTTTTTACATGTTTTAGATGCTACATTACCATTTGTCACAGCTGTCTGGACCCTTGACTGTATAAAAAAGGTCTGGACTCACAGTGCAAGCGCGTTCAGCTTATTACTATCACAGCATACGCTGGTGTCAATCAGTTGGGTGGAGTTGATTCGCTCCTTGAGTCTGTTTTATCAGTTATACATTTGTATGGGGTTGTGATGGTGCAGTGGACTTGGTGTGAGAGACCCGGGTTCAATTTCCCACTGTGACACCTAACCCCAAGTTGCTCCAGAGGCGTGCGACCTCTGACATATATAGCAATTGTAAGTCGCTTTGGATAAAAGCGTCAGCTAAATGAATAAAAACTTAAAATGTAAAATATTTCATTGCGTGAGAAAATTAGCGTGTGGCTTGACAGCGTGTGAAAAATATCACTTGCATGAGTCTTGCGAGGCAGCTTTTTACCTTACGAGAAATCTCATCACAATTTAATCTCGCAAGATCTCGTGGTGCGAATCTCGTCACAAATTAATCTCGTCACACCCCTAGTAATTATTGATCAGAGTTGGCCTGTAACCTGCGCCTCCCTCTCTGCAGGAGGATGAAGCTGGAGAAGGAGCTGGTGGCTCAGCTCTGGAGGATTTCCTGGGACGACATCCAGATGAGCAACCTGGACAAAGTGCTGCGTAGCGGCAGCAGGATCACGCTGTCACTGGTCAGCACACACTCACACAGAAAACCCACACACTTTACTAGAGTTCTTGATGTTTTTGTTCTGTTGCTTTTCATGCTCCTTTCATTTGGTAATTGTGTCTTTTGTTGTCTGTAAGTTGAAGCACTTTGCGTGATTACTCTTTTGTGTTCAAAGCACTCTTGACCACGACCACACACGTTTGTTCCTCTATCCCTGTGGGGATGTCTCGTGGACACAGTGCTTTCCTTAGCTCCTCATCCTAACTTTAACCATCACTACTATATGTCTAAGCTTAACCCTAACAGTACTCTGAACCCTAAAACCAAGTCTTAACCCTCAAAAAGTGTCTCTCTGATCCTGTGTCTGTCTCCAGAGAGGCTCTAACTACGGCTCCCTGATGAATGGAGATGGAAACCTGCAGGTTTTTGCAAAGACTGGATACTACAAGGTGTGTTTTTTATCCTAATAATAATAAGTCAGACTGAACATGAAGGACCAGGCATTTACTTCCAAATAACTTCCTGTATTCTCCCATATGACTGCTGGGATCAACCAACATCCAGTTTCTCAAAGCCTCTTTATTTGTCATTAGTTCAAAACCTTCCCGCTGTCTAAAAGCTTTTTCCTGTCATCCAGGAAGTGATGCACTAAAGAAATATGTCCTCTGATGTAAGGAAGTGGTGTTTCAGTTACAGGAAGAATCACATGTTTTAACATTACTTTGGTGATAGAGCTGCAGTCTTTTGTCTACACAGGAAGCAGGAATGTGTCTCATTGTCATCCGCTGCTTGTGATTACGGTGTACCTACATTATAGCAAATATTCTGAGCAGTTTTATAATCTAACGTACAGCTGAAGGACTGACAAACATCCATCGCTGTTTACATAATTAGCTCAGCTCTCCTGCACAGCGGTGGGATCAGCTGGTCGTGTTACTATGTTAGTGGCCATGACTGGTCATCGTGTTGGTATTTGTGTTTTATTACGTGTATATAGCATTATTGATATCTTAACATTTCAAAATATGTGTTAATACAATAATTCTTCATCATAAACACACAGCCACAGGAGACTCACGTGTAGGGCTGTCGCGGTGAAGTAATTTCCCCTGTGGTAATATGTTGGGACTCAACAGTGCGGTATCATCGCCATATAGCAGAGTAACAATGTCTGTGGATCTTACCTCACTGCACAGAAAGCCACCAACGGCAGCTTTATGGTCGGAGCAAGCCAGTTCTAGGCCTATGTGCAATCATAAAAATTATGTATGAGCAGTGTGCGAGTAACTTTTAAGACAATCGCAGCATTATTGTTCGGACACCACAACAACAACCTACAGTAACTCCCTCCCTGCCCTGCCGCTATTGTTCATAACATAGTTGGACTCTCCAACTATGCTCTCTGGCGGGACGTTAAAAAAGGTTTGATTTACTACAGCAATCATTCAAATGATGAAATATATGATTATTGACAAAATTTTCTTAGCATTAACATATTAGAGACCAATGTAGAGCCTTTTGCTTGCTCAAGGATTTAATGAATAAATGAAACCCACAGAAATGAAACAGCTGTAATGGATTTAATATTCAAGTGGTAAAAGAGTAGGCTATACTATTATATGAAATTATGATGAATATAGGCTGTTAATTAATATAGGCTATTATTGTTATACTAACAGTATACTATTAATTGAACATTATAATCTTTATTTAATGTCCTTCTGACCGCGGGCAGGATGAGCCAGCACCACATAATATTATACTAATACACTCATGTATACTAGTTCCTCCTCCAGGTTGTGGATGGAGTCTCTGCAGTGGACAGATGTAGATTTATCCATCCAGACATCCTGGCATCCATCCAGAGTCAGGATGCCAGTGTGCCAATATTTGCTCCTTCTAGCCGCCTCCTCCGTCGAGCATCACACTCCCTTAGTTCTGTTTTAGTATTTTATAAATATTGTTCATCGTTTAACTTTGTTCAGAAACACATTTCAAAATGTCAGCATTTTCCTTGATAATCAAGCAAGAAGACTTATAGTTTAGACTCAACCATTTTTTTCAATATAATCAAATTGCAATCGCAATATTTTCCACATTAATCGCAATATGACTTTTTCTCCAAATCGTGCAGCCCTACCGTACACTTTTTTTTTTTGTCTGGGTATTTTAGTCTGATTTTAGTCAAAAGAAAGTATTTTAGTCTAGTTATAGTTATTAACCATCATGTTAGTCTTTTCTAACTCATTAGTATAATTTTGATTAGCATTTTGGTCAATGTGCTCTAAACAAAACAGAGATATAATTCGAATGTTAGCTTTTGTCTCATTTTTATTCCAAAGGGGACATTAACTGATCTTATCTTGTCAAGTTTGTAGTGTTTTTTCCAGAAATCTTATAACCACACTGCTTGCCGTCCTTCTGTTTTTTTGTCTGCCTCACTGTATTTGAAATAGGACCAAATATCTAAGCACCTCTTTCTCCCGAGCATGTTGTGTTCATCACCAGAGTTCGCATCTTCCACAGTAAGGTTTTCCTTGCTAACGCCAAGTTAGCTAACTTTTAAAATAAACCGTAAAACAACACAAAACACAGCAACACTTACTGCAGAATACAAATAATATAATTAACCTGCATAATAAATTAAACATCAGTGCTGTAAATGTTTTACCATAGAAACAGTTGCTGCACCGCAAAGTATAGCTAGTTTAACTCTGTACACAATAACCCAATTTTACAGTCGAATACAGAAGGAAATAACAGCTTTTATGAGTGGAGAGCAGCTGGAGGTCCAGATGCTGGCCAGAAACTTTCTGATGAAAAATAAAAAAAAGTTTCAGACCGTGAAAACGTTTTTGCTGCCAGCTCACATCTCTAGGATCTGAGTTTACGGTTTAAATTTAGATTAGGTTGATTAAGTTGAGTGTGTTGCAGCCCAGCGATCTTGCTCTCTGTGTCTCTTTCAGGGAAACATCGTGGCCATGAAATACACCAACAGGAAACGCATCGAGCTGGACAGGATGGTCCTGTTTGAACTCAAACACGTGAGTGTGTCTGCTTCAGTAACAGCCTTCATACAGACAGAAATTGTTCAAATGATTCACCAAAAAATAAGAGCAGTCACCAACGAGGTCAGATCTGATCATAAAAAGGTCATGTTGAAATCAAGAGTGTGTATTGATTCATTTTTTATGAATATTTGCGTTTATTATTTATTTATTTATTTCATGTTTTATTTTCTGATGATTATGTAATAGTTACTGTTTTCATTCATTGCCATTTGAACAGTCTCCTCATAAGAACTTTGTTCAAGAGGATTATGAAAAAAATAATTAGTTAAGAAAAAAAGTTGGTATTCAGTAAGGATCAAACTAACAAGTCATTCTAATATTTGCACTGAAATTACCATTAGGCTTTAGGCTGTCGTTCCTGCTGTAAAGTGATTGTAACAAAACATAATATATACTTATATATTTTGTATTTGTGTAGATGCGAGACGTTCAGAACGAACATCTGACCAGGTTCATTGGAGCGTGCATCGACCCTCCCAACACTTGTATCGTCACAGAGTACTGTCCCAGAGGAAGTCTGCAGGTACACCTACCTGCGTCTGTCTGTCTGTCTGCCTGCCTGCCTGCCTGTTTCTCTGCCTGACGTTTGTTAACTGTCTGTATTTTGTGTCTTCAGGACATCTTGGAGAACGACAGCATCACTCTGGACTGGATGTTTAAATATTCTCTCATCAATGACATCGTTAAGGTACATTTATTTATTCATGTTTCATCTTCCAAATCTGTAATCATGTAATTAGTAGTAAAAGTATTTATATATTTAACAAATATCGTATGTACCTGATAATCAGCTGTAGGTGTCCAAACTCTCTGTCTGCAGGGCATGGTGTTCCTCCACAACAGTGTCATCGTCTCTCACGGTAAACTCAAGTCGTCCAACTGTGTTGTCGACAACCGCTTTGTCCTGAAGATCACAGACTACGGTTTGTCCAGCTTTCGGTCCTACAGCGACTCAGGAAAAGACGCTCATGCCTACTATGCCCGTGAGTTTGCCATTTCAGCCATTTATCTATTTTACTACATCTTCTCTTAAGAATTATACATCCAGACAGCTTTAATGCAGTTTCTGAAAGGTGTAGCTTTGGGACTAGCCTGTTTCTTTCAACAAGTTGTAGATTTTAGGTCAAGATTCTGCACATTCATCCATAAAATTAAAGTAAATATCAGCGTTCTCATCATCCTCATGTATGACTGTGTAGACTTGGCTTTAAGTGCGTTTTACTAAAAAACTCTTTTTTTAATTTAATTAAAGAAGCCGAAGTTGTCAAACACTAAATGGCTGTACAAGAACTTTGGCTGAATAAAATCTAAAACTCTAAAAGGCTAAATTAAATCAGTAAAGACTCAATGTGACTAAAATTCAACATTTGACATTTTGGTTGTGCCAAAAAAGTATTAATTACTAATCCAATTATCATTCAACTCCAGTTAAAATAAATACAAATGCACAAAAACAATAATAAATGTATATAATATAAATAATATAAATATAATATTCCTAAGCCGGCCCGGTGCCACAAGGGACAGCAGGGGGCTTTCCACCCTTAGTTGTATTAACTGCCTGTAGACCTACAGTTACGGCTTGCAGTTATTGTGATAGATAATAAACATAAGCCGATATGCATAATATTATCAAATGTAGGCTAGCCTATAAACATGTAGCCGGAATAGTTTTAGTCTAAAGTCGTCTTTCCGTGTTGTGATTTGTTGACCCTTCAAGAGAGCGTGGTGCTCCCTTGTGTGTTTTTTGACCTGTTTTTTGACCTATATGTAGGCTAATGTTTAGCAAAAATGTCATTATTATACATGTTTCGTTGGATAAAAGTCTACTTAGAATTTTGGAATTGATTAGAATTATTTCCCTTCAATAAATCCTTTGGTTTAGACTTTTACACTTTTGTATGTTTACTGGTCCGCGGAGCAGAACAGCAAGCTAAAGACACCTTATTCTTCATTATTATTACATAATAGTGCAATAGTCAGTCGTTTTTCTAAACAGCAGGCTATGCAGCATTTAAATTGTGTTTAGAATATAAGGTAAGGTAGGGAAATGTTCACATCTAGTCAAAACGCCATTATTGTTATCCGCACGATGAAAACAAATGCGAGATTTGGCACAACAGGATGAGAACCTACTGTTTTACTATATGAAAAGATTTGACCCCTCGCCATTTTTAAGTGCCCTCTCATTCACTTCATCCCGGCACCGGGTCTGCCAGAAGCTGTAAAAGAGCTAAACCATTCCTAAAACTTTACTTCATCTTGCCAGTGATTCCCACAATCCTCCTGTCCTCTCGTTCCCCTGCAGAGAGGTTGTGGATGGCTCCAGAGCTGCTCCGGATGGAGTCTCCTCCTCCTCACGGAACTCAGAAAGGAGATGTCTACAGCTTCGGCATCATCCTCCAGGAGGTGGCGCTGCGCAGAGGAGCCTTTTACCTGGAGGGAGACCCACTCAGCCCTAAAGGTAGGATACAGTTCCCACAGAGAAGGCTCTGAATTCAATTCAATTTCAATTAAATTTTATTTATATAGCGCCAAATCACAACAACAGTTATCTCACAGCGCTTATAAATCTGAAGGCTTTCACACCATGTGATTATCCTTGTCCTGTCTGCCCTCCCAGGTGGGGTGTCAGGTTTTTACACAAAATTAAATTATATAAATCAGATTCAGGTTTTCATGTGTCTGCTTTGGATTGAAATTTTGGACCTGTGAACACCGTCCTCACCAGCAGAGGTCCTTCCTGTGAACAATGAGCAGAGTGCTGGAGCTACATCATGTACAGTATCAGGATGTACAGTGGTGTGAAAAAGTGTTTGCCCCCTTCCTGATTTCTTAGTTTTTTTCATATTTGTCACACTGAAATGCTTGAAATCATCAAAAAAAAATTAATATTAGACAAACATAACCTCAGTAAATACAAGATGCAGTTTTAAAAGATGATTTCATTTAATAGGGGAAAAAGCTATCAAAACGTACCTGGCCCTATGTGAAAAAGTAATGGCCCCATGTTAAATCATGAATTGACAGTGATTAACTGAGTTCATTTTCACAAACTACACCCAGGCCTGCTTACTGCCTAGAAATCACCTAAATATAACCTGTCTGACAAAGTGAAGCAGGCTAAACCTTAGCTTAAACCAGAGATGCTCACAAGTCTTAAAGTCAAAGTAAAGTCTCAAGTCTCTGAGCAAGAGTCCAAGTCAAGTCCTAAGTCTCTGAGCTAGAGTCAAAGTCAAGTCTCTGAGCAAGAGTCCAAGTCAAGTCTCAAGTCTCTGAGCAAGAGTCCAAGTCAAGTCTCAAGTCTCTGAGAAAGAGTCCAAGTCAAGTCTCAAGTCTCTGAGAAAGAGTCCAAGTCAAGTCTCAAGTCTCTGAGCTAGAGTCCAAGTCAAGTCTCTGAGCTAGAGTCCAAGTCAAGTCTCTGAGCAAGAGTCCAAGTCAAGTCTCAAGTCTCTGAGAAAGAGTCCAAGTCAAGTCTCAAGTCTCTGAGCTAGAGTCCAAGTCAAGTCTCTGAGCTAGAGTCCAAGTCAAGTCTCTGAGCTAGAGTCCAAGTCAAGTCTCTGAGCAAGAGTCAAAGTCAAGTCTCTGAGCAAGAGTCCAAGTCAAGTCTCAAGTCTCTGAGCAAGAGTCCAAGTCAAGTCTCTGAGCAAGAGTCCAAGTCAAGTCTCAAGTCTCTGAGCAAGAGTCCAAGTCAAGTCTCAAGTCTCTGAGAAAGAGTCCAAGTCAAGTCTCTGAGAAAGAGTCCAAGTCAAGTCTCTGAGCAAGAGTCAAAGTCAAGTCTCAAGTCTCTGAGCAAGAGTCCAAGTCAAGTCTCAAGTCTCTGAGAAAGAGTCCAAGTCAAGTCTCTGAGAAAGAGTCCAAGTCAAGTCTCTGAGCAAGAGTCAAAGTCAAGTCTCAAGTCTCTGAACAAGAGTCCAAGTCAAGTCTCTGAGCAAGAGTCCAGGTCAAGTCTTTGAGCAAGAATCCAAGTCAAGTCTCTGAGCTAAAGTCAAAGTCAAGTCTCAAGTCTCTGAGCAAGAGTCCAAGTCAAGTCTCACGTGGTTATAATGAATGTTGTATCACCAGCTGTGTTCAATCCAGGCTGCTTATAAAACTGCATAGCTATCAGGAATTCTGTAACTGTAACCTGTTTTTTACTTACAGAGCACGACCATCTAATGTGCAATGCAATTAATGACAGCTTATTGTCAACACACCACCAGACTCTCAAACCAGTGTAGGCCTAATGTTAACTAAATAAATCTGTAACATTACATGATTAAGAATGAACCTGTAACCTGTTTGCAGCCAACGGTAATAATTAACATGATGGCAGCCAGCAGGGCGTAAATAATTACATAAATAATTATAATCCCAAACCACAAGTTTTGGCAAGTAAACAAACGCTCATTCATCTTTTCATAACGAACAACAGTCGGAGTTAAGCTCCCGTAGGTTGTAGCTAAAGCAAGAAGCAAGCTAACGTTGATGGCCAATGCTGAGCTAAACATGTTTATTAACCACAGGTTACGAACCTATTTTGTGTTCAGCGCTTCTTTGTTTGGTTCCAGTTGTATGAAGTTTTAAAGCCAAAGTTTATGATGAATGGCGCAGCAGCTGCCGCTGTTTGTTGTCCTCTCGCACGTGCGGCTGATACTACCTGTATCACCTACCTGAGGAGCAAGCTCATCAGACGTTTCCTAAAAATAAACATTGTTCATGAGTCCCGCAACTCGAGTACGAGTAGAGTCTGAAGTCCTTTGAGGATGAGTCTGGAGTCGAGTCTGAAGTCTCTGTGTGTGCAACTTAAGTCGGACTCGAGTCAGAGTATCAAACTCAAGTCCCCATCTCTGCCTTAAACAGGCCATTCATGCTCGAAAACCAACCAGTGTGGGTGAATTAAAACAATTCTACAAAGAAGACTGGAAAACTCCTCAACAGTGACGTGAAAGACTCATTGCCAGTTATCGCAAACTCTTGATTACAGTTGTTGCCGCCAAGGGTGGCTCAACCAGTTATTAGGTTTAGTGGGCAATTACTTTTTCATATAGGGCCAGGTAGGTTTGGATTGCTTTTTTCCTTTTAAAATTAAAATCATCTTTTAAAAACTGCATTTTGTATTTAGTCGGGTTATGTTTCTCTAATATGAAGTTGTTTGATCTGAAACATTTCAGTATGACAAAGATGCAAAAAACTAAGATATCAAGAAAGGGGCAAACACTTTTTCCCAGCACTGTATATGAGGAAATGAAGAGATGGATGGTTCAACTATCCACTTTTTTTTTCAGCACTTTTTCAATTTCTATGCGTGTCCAGGGCCCCAGACTAACTTTTCCACTTGTCAGTTGGTCGCACCACCTTTAAAAAATTTTTTCTGGGGTACATAAGATTACAGAGATGAATCGATGACTGATTATAAGTGGGGTGATGTATCAGTCCCTGCGATCCTTACTGTTGTTGCAACTTTTAAGTTTCAAGCTAAGACTGTTGCCTATAATATAAACACAGCAGATCATCCTCCTCATAACGCACCATGCTGGCTCTGGCTAAATTTGTGCGCAGGAGAGGCTCAATGCACAACCTGGATGAGAAACTAGTTTAAATGAGTGAATTTGTATAATTTTACAACATAAAATAAAAGTACAATGATCATTTAATAATTTACTGTTAGTGTAATACAGGATTTTTCCTGGCTCAGAATGGGCCTTTGGGGGGTGACTTTGACAGCACGTGTACAGTAAAGACAATGACTTACCTAATGACCAAAATCTATGTATTTTCTTGTTTTATTGGACCATTTGATAAACAGCTTTAATATTGTGAGAAATAACAGGAAGTCTTTAGTGAAAGCTTTGTAACGGAGCGTTCAGGCGCAGTCACACCATACATACATGTGAGTTAAACCAGCGCAGCCGGTGGTTTATTTATTTAATTTATTTAAGGGAAACAACGAGCCTCAAAGTCGAATTCTTATAGATTTACCAGTGTAACCTGCCTGGTACAAGGGAGGAAAGGAAAAAAAGTGATGACTGCCGTTACCTTTGAAGCGCTCATTAAGTCCAAATGTGTCAGCTCCTTGATTATTTATATTCCTTTACTCTGTAAGGGTCCACCGATCAAAAGAATCAAAACAGCTTTTCATAAAAATAAATCCAAGTTGTGAATCCTGTCATGTGAAGACCATCACTCTCTGTCTGCTAACTTCTCTCATCCTGCACCGTGTTGTTGTTGTGATGTTACTTCAAAATAAAAGCGCATAAGCCATCTGTCGGAGCTAGATCAAATGAATGACGTGTATTTGGTTGTTGTAGGTTGGTTGAAGAACAATCACAGTGACGAGCACATTGACTTAAAGGTTCAGTGTGTAAGATTTAGTGGCATCTAGTGTCGAGGGTTGTGAATTGCAACCACCTGTCCAGTCTACCACTGCCCCCTAACCTTTCAAAGAGAGTAGGACAGCTACGGTGGCTGACGCAGCACAAAAGGTGTCTCTTCTGAGACAGCAGAGAGACCAGTCAAGAAATTAGGTTTCTTTAGGTAGATTTATTAAGAAGTTATATTTACTTAATTATTCAGTAAAACCATATGTTATTGTGACTTGGCCACTGACAGATAACATGGAAAATATAAACCAAGAGTGTGAAACGCTGTTACTGTTTCTGCACCACAGTCCATTATAAACCACACATTAGATAAAGTTTATACAAACATGGACAAGGGAAACACGTTCATTCTCTCTGTGATTATGGACCCTCGCCAGAACTGCCTGCCAACAATAATATCCGGCCCGCTGCCAGATTATGGTGCTTTGATAGCAGCAAAAACAAAAATACTTTGATAGCGGTGTTGAAATAGATCTCAGTCATGACAGCAACAGTTACTCACATAATCACTTCCTCTTTAGTGGTTTTGCCTACAAAATAAAAGCGTGAGAAGCTTGTTTACTGCAATGCTGTATAGCTCTTGGATGCTTTAAATCACTGGGACCGTCATCTACTCAGACAAAGTAGGCTATTGCCAAATTTTTTATGAGCTCAGTGCTACGCGTGTGCGGCCTATCAATAGCACTAGCCTGTACTGCAGTGACTGGTGTTATAGCTAATGCTAATTAGCAACAAGATGCCAACCTTCTCCACTACTCAGTGGCCTGACTTTGTTATATGAATGCATATATGTGTCGTCGTCCCCCTCCCCATGGTTGGGTAGAAATTGTATGTCCCAGCAGGAAGTGCACAGCTATGTTATGTTCTGTAAGCAGTTAATAATACAGATGCACAGCGCATATACCTAGCATAGTCTCCAAGTGATTAGTCACACAAACAATGGTTGCAGTCTGGAGCCCTGGTGTTTTTTCATCCTCCTGTAGCTGCTTTGTTTTAGTATTTAGTGAATGTATTCAGGTATCTTCAGAGAAGAAGATCCTAGCCTCCGCAGGTCATGTTGTTTATCTCCACAGATGATTTGCAAATGAACTGAGTAGCTGCA